AATCTGATTAAATTCTACAGACTTTCTTCTTCAACTTGATACCCACACTTCTTCTCTAGGCACATTCCACCGAATTTTTTAAATCATTTTGGAATTACTTAACCCAGGGTGAAAAACTAAAAACGCAATTTTACAATATTTGGATCATGTTTTCACGAATATATCAATTTTTGTGTGTAAAATTTACTATCGCACGGTGTTGTATGTATAATGAGCTAGACATTTATGAAAGAATATAAATTATTAAATAAAAATAAATATAGCCAATACTGCTCAAGAAAAGGAGTTTCAATTATTGCCATCAAAATTAAAATTTCCGAAAATCCCTGGAATATTTGCCAAGAATCCCCGAATTTTTAGAACCTAAAAAAGTCCGGGATCTCTGTGTTAACATTCCTAGTTCACGCTCACCGGAGAATTTCCTTGAAATCTCGAAAATCTTAAAAAATTCCCGCTCTGAAATATTTTTCATACAAATTTCGATGTTTTATGTTGCTCTCACTTTACTGCTTCATAACCTGACTTGGCACCTTAGGTTATGGTTACTATGCATGCTTATTCTGACGAACTTTTGTTCTGACGATTTCGTTGCGACAAAAAAATACGTCTTTGCTTGTTTGTTTCTTATTTTTTTGGTCCGAAGTTATCGTCAAAACTAAAGTTCGTCAGAATACGCATGCATAGTAACCGTAGCCTTAAAATGATTTCCAAAATATCAAAACACATTCATGAGACTTTTAACATTTCCTAATCTTATTAATTTTATAGACATACATATGTACATACATACATATATGGGTATTTCCATAGAACTTGGTTGATATTGAAATAGATGTTAAAAATTTTTCAAATAAAATCATCGTAATTAATATTAATTTAACTTTAAAATTAGCAAAAGCTGCCTGGTAAGAAATTAAATCAGTCTTAAGAACGCAATCACGAACACAAAAACGGAATTATAACGATTCAAATTTTATTAAAAAAAAAATCGAAAATAGAATACTTTGAAGATATTTTACCGTGAATAAATTCAATTTGAAACTGCATTATCGTCGCCGCAGCGGTGAAAGCTTCTAACTCCACTTTTCGGTGAAAATAACGGGCGGAAGGTAAATAATTTTGTATTTCCCAGCAAACATTGTGGTAAGTTACCGATTAGAGAACGAATGGAGAACTAGCCACATTCTCCCATCTCAAACGTTAGAGAACGACTCGAAAACTATCGAGAATCATAGCGATCTCAACAAAAATGGGACATAGTTCTCGATGCGAGAAAATATTAATTCTCTAATCGAGTTCTAATGTTGATCTCTAATGGGATTCGAATGTGAATTTCAAACTGCTGTTTTGCTTTATTAAATAAAACGCTTTGTTGTAAAGTTTGTAGTAAGAAAAATATTTTAAAAATAGTTCTTGAAAACCCCAATCTTTTTTAACCACGTTTTTTTATAGAGAATTAAACAAGGATTACGATCATATAATTTTAAATCCCTAATTTATTGGCCTTCACTATGCAAATCAACTTCAAAAAGTTCAGCTGTTAATAGCTAAGTTAGCTTTAGGACAATTTTGACCATCTTATTTGTGGAAATATTAAGCCCGTTTCTTTAGCTTTAAAACGACGTTAAGATGAAATCTCTACGATGGGCAGAACCCGAGATATAACGATTTGAAAGAGTACATGACTATTCAGAATCACGAAGAGATGCAAACTTTGACAGATCCTATCTCCAAAGAAAAAACCAAAAAAAAATCCTCGAACACGTGTTAGCCTATTTCATGTATAGAACCCATAAAAAATTTGAAGCCAATCGAAAGTGTGACACCAAATCTGGTGACGGATATGAAAAAAAAATTACTCAATAGGGCCGAATATATCCGGTTTTGTTAAAAGTTATGTGGATTTTCAATTTTAATAGAACAAAGAGGAAATTATCAGAAAAAGTTATTGACGCAAGGCCAATAAAATCTTGCGATGAAGCAGCTGATACATCACCTTAAAACTTTTTGGAAGTTAAGTTTTGACGAGCCAATTTTCCTTATACTTAAGCCCTGTATGTAGCTCTCAAGAAAACGGTTAAGAAAAAATTGCCATTATTTCGCGTGTGTGTCCAAGGAATTTTGACATTTTTGATACCTCACAGCCTGTTGCCTCACTCTTTCCTCAATAAATAATGGAACGGGCATATATTTCTGATGCAAGCCTGGGCTGCCTTGTGCTCTTTTTTCACAAAAAAACTTTAGAAAACCGTACTAGCAAACGTAGTAAATTTCTTAAGAACTGCGTACTGCCTTAAGGAAATTTGACTCAAGAAAATTTCTTAGCCATTTCTTGTACGTCATTTTATATGGAGTTTTAGCTTTTCTTGAGAGCTGCATACAGGCCTTTACTTGGGAATATTTTCTTTCCTAATATAAATAACGAAATCTACTTTGGATTAAATTATTCATCAATATTTTCATTTCTCTATTTTTAGTTTGAGCAAGTACTCGCCAAATCTTCTTCTTAAACATTTAGTTTACGTTGGAATTTGAAAAAGAAAAAAGAATATTCTTTTCCTTTGCATTAAATGTACTGTTACATTCGTTGACTATGGAAATGTCCATATACATATGTACATACATATGTACATATCATGATTATTATTAATTTTCAGTTAGTTGTATTCAACACCACATGCATACTCGTCTTTTTAAATCTACTAATTAAAAAGTCTACTTGGTTTGAACGCACATACATATATACATACAAATACAAAATGTACCACAAAATGGGTCTAATAACAACGGCACACAAAAGCAATTCGAATTTTTTAATTTCGCTCAGAAAAAGTGGTGATTCGACTTATTGTGCACCGGTAGAAATCTGAACTCGGGTTGAAATTCGGTTATACATACATATATGTTTTCACAATTGAGTTAAATCGCAGTTCAAATAAAGGTAAATGCGTTAAATGGAGCAAATTAGGCTAGACGATGCAGTAATTGAATCAATTACTCATCTTTAGGTTATTTACAAGACGCCGTAAGCGTCGTAAAGTCATAAATACATAAATTTTTTCAATGTAAAATAACGGTTAGATGTGTTTAAGAGGACCTGATTACATATTTTCTGTCAATTTAAAAACATATTCACCCCAAAAAAATATTGAGTTGTAAATATTGTATGGAATGACCCATATATAACTTAACTTAACTTTGGACCACGTCAACCGATTTCGATAATTCTTTTTCTACCGGAAAGGTGGCAGCTCAAGGGTGATCCCATACTAATTTGGTTTAGGTTCGATAATTTGGTCATGAAGAAATTAACGGTACTATTAAATTTGTATATGAGAATTGAAGTCGGTTTGGGTTTTTGCTTAAAAATTACTCGTATTTTTAATTCATTACAAGTTGTTAAGTAAAAAAGACAAAGAAGCCAAAAAATTAAAAATTTAAAAAATCTGAATTAATGAAAAATTACCTTCGCCTCGAAACCGACATTAAAGAGTTAAATATTTGAATATTTTCTTTTTTGACTTAAAAAAAATCAA